TTCCAAGTGGCAGACTTCCTGTTTTTCATCTATTTATATCTGCAGACATCAAAGGGTTTTTCTTAGCCAGTAGTTAGTGGTTGTTTTGGGATTAATAGGAGCTTAATTTTCAGAATAAAGCTGATCTAACCAATGCAGATTCTTCAAAGTTCAGAAATCCGGCAGGAGATAATTTATTCATTTAAACAAACGAGAACTGAATCTAAAATTAAATGTCTCTGTTAGCTGCACCCTTTAGCCTTGCAGAATGTCAAAAAGCTGAGTTGTGATCTTCTAATCCCTGATTGTTTCATTTGACATCTTTGACAGCAGGCCTGTGAATCACCTGATCACAGCTCTGGCTTTCTGGATCCCTGAATAAAAGCTTTGTATTTACAACTAACAGTTCAAGCTTTGAGAATTTTAAAGAATTTTGCTAATTAACCTAATAATCTGTCAATTTCTTGTTTTTTAACCACCAATTCAAACTTAAATATACGCAGCTTTTAAGATGCTTCAGATCCATTATTGTAAAATCTACAAACATTCCATTTATATTTGTTTAAAGCTTTCTTTTTACATCTTTATTATGCGTTTGTTTTGGTTAACACTAGGGGTGTAAATAATAATCGTTTTGTATCGATACATCGATCCAACAGCCGACGATCCGATGCATCGATACGTCCGCAAGAGAATCGATTCATGTTTTATTTATTTTTTTCGGTCATTTTTTTTTTTTTTTCTGGGCGTAATTCTGACTCCCGTGCTGCGGTGGCGCTATACTAGGGGTGTAAATCACATCCATCATGGCGATTCGATTCAGTATCGATTTCCTGACCCAGCGATTCGATTATTTTCGATACTCAAGAATACACCACGATTCGATTCGATTAATCGATTATTTTTTTTTATTATTATTTATTTTATTTTTTTACACCTTACAGGCTAAACAAAGTTTCAAGTTTGAAATAAATCAATGAAAGCTGTAATATCATTATGCATTTTCTTTAGAAACAACAGCAAATAACAGAAGTAGAAAAGTTGCATCAAAAAATACTGCAAAAATACTGCACAATATCAGTGTAATGAGTTCAATGCAATACCTCGGCTCCAGAGAAACTGTCCAACATATTTTTTTAGAATGTAATAAATATACTCAGGAAAGAGAGATTTTGCGTAGAGAGTTAGACAGGAATAAAAATAAACTAGATATAAGGAAATTGTTTCAAAGGTCATCTGGGGATGTAGTTTTTGGTAGTATTTTTAATTTTCTAAGAAGAACGGGTATTTTAGGGAGAATACAGGTGCTGGTCATAAAATTAGAATATCATGAAAAAGTAGATTGATTTCAGTAATTCCATTTAAAAAGTGAAACTTGTATATTATATTCATACATTACATACAAACTCATATTTCAGATGTTTATTTTGTTTAATTTTGATGATTACAAATGACAACAAATGAAAATCCCAAATTCATCATATCAGAAAATTAGAATATTACTGAAGACCAATAAAAACAAAGGATTTATAGAAATGTTGGCCAACTGAAAAGTATGAACATGAAAAGTATGAGCATGTACAGCACTCAGTATTTAGTTGGGCCTCCTTTGGCCTGTATTACTGCAGCAATGCGGCGTGGCATGGAGTCGATCAGTCTGTGGCACTGCTCAGGTGTTATGATAGCCCAGGTTGCTCTAATAGTGGCTTTTAGCTCTTCTGAATTGTTGGGTCTGGTGTATTGCATCTTCTTCTTCACAATACCCCATAGATTTTCTATGGGGTTAAGGTCAGGAGAGTTTGCTGGCCAATTAAGAACAGGGATACCATGGTCCTTCAACCAGGTACTGGTAGCTTTGGCACTGTGTGCAGGTGCCAAGTCCTGTTGGAAAATGAAATCTGCATCTCCAAAAAGTTGGTCAGCTGCAGGAAGCATGAAGTGCTCTAAAACTTCCTGGTATGTGGCTGCGTTGACCCTGGACCTCAGAAAACACAATGGACCAACACCAGCAGATGACATGGCACCCCAAACCATCACTGACTGTGGAAACTTTACACTGGACTTCAAGCAACGTGGATGAAGTGCCTCTCTTCTTTTCCTCCAGACTCTGGGACCTTGATTTCCAAAGGAAATGCAAAATTTACTTTCATCAGAGAACATGACTTTGGACCACTCACCAGCAGTCCAGTCCTGTTTCTCTTTAGCCCAGGCAAGACGCTTCTGACGCTGTCTGTGGTTCAAGAGTGGCTTGACACAAGGAATGCGACAGCAGAAACCCATGTCTTTCATACGTCTGTGTGTGGTGGTTCTTGAAGCACTCACTCCAGCTGCAGTCCACTCTTTGTGAATCTCCCCCACATTTTTGAAGGGGTTTTGTTTCACAATCCTCTCCAGGGTGCGGTTATCTCTCTTGCTTGTACACTTTTTTCGACCACATCTTTTCCTTCCCTTCGCCTCTCTATTAATGTGCTTGGACACTGAGCTCTGTGAACAGCCAGCCTATTTAGCGATGACCTTTTGTGTCTTGCCCTCCTTGTGCAAGGTGTCGATGGTCGTCTTTTGGACAACTGTCAAGTCAGCAGTCTTCCCCATGATTGTGTAGCCTATAGAACTAGACTGAAAGACCATTTAAAGGCTTTTGCAGGTGGTTTGAGTTAATTAGCTGATTAGAGTGTGGCACCAGGGGCCATCAATTTTGAACCTTTTCACAATATTCTAATTTTCTGATATGATGAATTTGAGATTTTCATTTGTTGTCATTTGTAATCATCAAAATTAAACAAAATAAACATCTGAAATATATGAGTTTGTATGTAATGTATGAATATAATATACAAGTTTCACTTTTTAAATGGAATTACTGAAATCAATCTACTTTTTCATGATATTCTAATTTTATGACCAGCACCTGTATAATAGTTTGTCTGGTCCATACTCCATTCTGGAAGGTGGCGGTAATGCACCTATAAGTTGTTTGCCAACCGCCATTAAATAAAAGAAGAAGAAGAAGGCTCCAGTGTCGACGTCACCGCCCCCTTTAGAGACGCTCCGCTGCACCTCTCCCAGATTGTAGCTGATTGCAAACAGTGCACCAGACAGGAGGCCGGCTTGTTTTGTTTTTATGACCGAAATTGCGGAAAACAACTCGTGAAGTTCGACCCGCTAGAAGAGCGAGGTGCGCGAGACCGCTGGGACCCTTTTTCCAGCTGAATCTCCGCTCTTTTTGCCCCATTGTCCCTCCGTCGTCGGACTAAACTCGCCCCCACTTCCTCATCGCCTCGGCCGTATCTAGACCCACAGCGTGTAGCCCAGACCACGCTTCAATACTGAGCATAATTTAAAAATGTCTGTGTCAAGCTTGCTGCAACAAACTGCTGTAGGAGTATAACCAGGAAGCGCGGTAGGAGGGTAAAATGGGTTCAGCGGCACCGCAGCACGGGAGGAGAATTACGCCCAGGAGCAAATGGATAAAAATAGACCGGAGAAAAAAAAAAACATGAATCGATTAACTTGCGGACGTGTCGATGACTCGGATCGTCAGCTTTTGGATCGATGCATCGATAAAAAACGATTATTATTTACACCCCTACGCTATACCTATTTTGCCTTCCTACCTCGCTTGCTTTAGCCACACCCTCTTTCCGCTTGCACAAACTCGCTTCAACAGTATGCAAAACAAACATGGCGGAGACAGCGGAGTTGGAAGAAGAGGTAGACAAAAGAGTGAAAAAAGACGACGACTTACACACACCTTGCGGCGGGTACAAGTCCTATGTGTGGAAGTATTTTGGGTTCCGTAAGGATGGAAAAAAACTGCTGAAGGATATTGCTATCTGCAGAGCTTGTCGTTGCGAAATACGCTACTGTGGCAACACATCCAATTTGTCTGCTCACCTGAAAAGACGCCATGATGTCCAAGGCGTAGAAAAAGTACAGCCCTCTTCGTCGCCACTGACAACATTTTTCCCGGAGAAGTTTTCACACAGCTCTAAGAGGGCAAAGAATATATCCAAGGCAATAGCGTTCTTCATATGTACAGACATACGTCCATATTGCGTTGTGGAGAACGAAGGCTTCCGATACCTGCTCGACACACTGGAACCGAGGTATAGCATTCCCTCGCGACAGCACTTCAGCGAATCATTGATTCCAAAGTTATATGCCAAAGTTCATGATAGTGTAATTCAAGAGTTGCAGGAGGCACAGCGCGTAGCTGTAACCTGTGACGGCTGGACTTCCTGCACTACAGAATCCTTCATCACAGTAACATGCCACTTCATTAACACGAATGGAAGATGCAAAATTACGTGTTACAGACGCGTGTGCTGGCAGAGACTCATTCAGGAGCTAACATAGGACACGTCTTACGAGCTGCGTGTGAAGAGTGGGGTCTGAGTAACAAAGCACCAGCCCTCGTCACGGATAATGCATCAAATATGAAGAGGGCTGGGGAAGAGTCCGGGATGTCACCCCACATCATGTGCTTCGCACACACTCTCAATCTGTCCACTCAAGATGGCCTCAAGCTCACAGCCACAGACAGGCTTTTGGGTCGAGTTAGGAGAATTGTGAGTTTTTTCCATCGCAGCGCAATAGCAACCGCAGTGTTCAAGGAAAAGCAAAAACTGCTTAACCTCCCGTGCCACAAACTTAAAGCGGACGTAAAGACAAGGTGGAACAGTTCATTCGAAATGTTAGAGCGGTTCCTGGAGCAACAGCCTGCGGTGACGGCAACCCTCCTGGACAACAAGCTGAGGAAAGGCGGAAGCGAGATTCGCACTCTCACGGAAGGTGACCTATCCGCAGCAGAGCAAGTGGTTAGCCTGTTGGCCCCACTGAAAGCTGCCACCACGCTCATGTGCGAAGAAAAGCAACCCACAGTGTCAATCATCGCCCCCCTCAGAACGAAGTTGCTGACACATTTTTAATATACACCAGACGACACTCCCTTGATCAAAGACATGAAACGAGTCATGGCCGAGGACCTCAGAGAACGGTATGTGAACGAGGAACCATTCTTACTCCGAGCAGCTGCGTTGGACCCTAGGTTTAAAAAGCTCCCATTCCTGAGTGATGAAAGAAGAAACCAAACCTTTGAATGTATTGCTGAAGAAGCAGCACAGCTGAAGGAACAGAGGGTAGGTTGTTTATCATAATATAAATCTGTCATATATATATATATACTTTTTAAAATATAGTATAGCGTTTATTTATATATCATTATTAATTGTTATTAGTTGTAGTAGTCGTTGGTGGTGTTGCTGTGTTTTAAGGTAATACACTGAAAAAAAATAATGCATCCGCTTTAGCATTTACTAGTTAGTTTTATGCCCTACCCTGCTAACAACACCAAACAATTGTGTTAAAGTAACTAAATATTATTAAGTAAATGCCATAAATGGTTGCATTATTTTTTCAGTCTACATTGAACTGTTGGGTGTTGTTCTTATGTAGTATTAAGTTGGTGCTTATGAGTGTATATGTGTCTGTGACAGTTACAGAATGAACCAGAGGTCCAGGCCCAGGAAACACCTCCCTATGCCCAGATGTGTGATGAGAGGGAAACGAAAAGTATGGAAGGTACTGTTCATACATTCTACAATTATTCAGAAGCATCATAAAAATCCTACTTAAACCTACCTACTCATGTCACATACACTTCATAAATATTATATAGACATATTATATGTGCACATTTTATATATTTATAAACACACACACTTATGTATGTATATAATATACTAAAACTGTTCTATATGACTAAAGCCTACTGCCATATTATACTTTGACTAACTATACTCCTTCTGTTGTCTTATTTTTGTTTAATTTAGAAACCCCTCCAGTTTCCAAGAAAACAAAAGTATTGGATGACTTGTTTGGGGACTCCTTCAGCACTGAGGACCAATGTGCCAGGAAGAAAACATCCAAAGAGCTAGCCAATGATGAAATTAGGAAGTACAGAGATATTGCATCTCTGAGTTTGGGTGGTAAGGTGTTACAATGGTGGAAAGCTCACCAGGCCGAGTTTCCTCTCCTGGCCCACCTGGCTCAGACCTACTTGTGCATACCTGGTACAAGTGTACCATCAGAACGCGTGTTTAGCACAGCAGGGGACATAGTGCGTTCAGAACGTAGTGTTTTGTCCTCTGAGCATGTGGACCAGCTGATTTTTTAAAAGAAAAATCTGTCAAAATGCACAATTGAAAGTATTGAACTGTAACAATGCTGTAGTTTAATGTTACAGCTTTACTAACTGTTCTCTTTTTCACACAAAAGCATTATTACTTTTAAGTGAATTAAGTAAATGCCTACTTTTCTGTCGCTAGTGCACATTTTGAGTCATTTTGCTGACCTTGTGGAGTATGGCCTATGTTGTTTTATTTTTTACTATTTGTTACTAGTGCACTTTAAGTATTTTATAGTGATTTAAGTACAGGGGCATTTTTTGTTACCATTTGCTGCTAGTGCACTTTTGCACTTATTGCACTGATTTTTTTTTTTTTTTTTTTTTTTGGAGTATTGTTATTCTGTAGTTAATGTACTATAGGCCTGTTTTTGTTACTTAATCTGCTAAGGCACTAATGCACTCATTACTTTAAGTTTGGTCAATGAAGTACTTTTCTACTTGTTATTTGCTGGTGTTTCTCAAATAAAAAGCCTAACGTTGTTACAGCTTTTATTGATTTATTTCAAATTTGAAGGTGAAAAAAAAGAAACAATTAATCGATTAATCGAATCGAATCGAATCGTATCGTGGTGTATTCTTGAGTATCGGAAATAATCGAATCGTTGGGTCAGGAAATCAATACTGAATCGAATCGCCATGATGGGTGTGATTTACACCCCTAGTTAACACCATTTAATAACCTTTGCTAACAATCATTAATATCTCTGTGATTAAAACTGTGTGTTTTAGTCTTCTTTTTGAGAAAGACTGCAGTTCTTTCTTAAACTAGGAATCCTCTGAGTTGCCTGACAGTAAATTGAGGCTAATAGGAAGCAGGAATGATGACAGCTTCATCACAACTGGATCCTGAGGAGATGTTCGCACCAGGAAGCTCTGATTTCGACACATTTCACGATAATCCTCACATAATTCACACACACCTCCGGGATTAACCGATCAGACAGGCGGCTGGGAGGATGTTTAGCTTCTAGGCTCACTGAAGATTCTGCCTTCCTAACATTATCTAGCTGCGTTGGCTAACGGGCTGTTAGCCTAGCCTTAGCTCAGCTGGGAGCTAATTAGCTCATGCTAACAGATTTGAAAGTCAACCACCTGTCAGAGTTATTCAGCTTTGCAAAGACCTGCCTAAACTTTAGCAACAGCTGCCAGAGCAGAAGAGGAATAGCTGCCGACATTAGCCGGGTTAGCACGGTACCTTTCTAACGCCTTTGTAGATGTAGAAGTAGAGCTCACGGCCCACATTGAAACAGATCCTATCGCCGTTACCCGACTGGTCGTTGACGTTTACGAAGGAGACCTTGACGGGGTTGGAGCCTTGCGAGTTGAAAGGCACCCTGTTGGGGCGACTGTATTCGGAGTGAGTGAGGAGTTTGTAGACGCCTTCCCGAGTGGTGAACTGAGTTTTAATTTCGTTCATCTCCTTCCCTCCTCCCTCCGCCGCCATCTTTGAAATTAACATTCATCCCTTTCCCCCAGGCCGGATCTTACGCAGGGTAGGCGACGAGCATTCCGACTCTCCCGCTCCCCCTAGCGGGTTACCGATGAACTGCAGGAGAAAAAACTAGCATATTTCCTTATGGATATTCCATAACTTCTCACATTCCAATTATACGAAATAGGATAAGGGCCACTGAAAAAATAAAAAAGTTTACTGATTTTTAAATTTTATTTCAATATAATATGAGAAAAAAAAATCAGAATTCTGACTTTTTCTCAGAATTCTGACTTTAATCTTAGAATTCTGACTTTTTTTCTCAGAAGTATGATTTTAATCTCAGAATTATTTTTCTCACAATTCTGATTTAATTTTATAATTCAGCCTTTCTCACAGAATTCTGACTTTAAACTCAAAATCCTGACTGAGTTCTGACAGCTAACAAATATGTTAGCATCTCTAGCTCTCTTGTTTTAATCACCTTCTGCTAATGAAACAGCATCACCAGGGACCCCTCAGGGACGTAAAAAGTTGCCTAATTCCGTTATTTTCCACCAATTAGTTACTGTTCCTCTCAAACTCTCTGTCAGTGAAGCTGAGTGCTCCACATCTCTTCCTTCATGAGGCCCATCTACATTAATAACAATTCTAAGATTAAGGTCAGAATTCTCAGAAAAAAGTCAGAATTTTGAGAAAAAATTTAGAATTCTGAGATTAAATCATAATTGTTAGATTAAAGTCAGAATTCTGAGGAAAAATTCAAAATTCTGACTTTTTTCCCATATTACACTGAAATAATATTTAAAAAGCAGTTATCTTTTTTTTTTTCCAGTGGCCCTAATCCTCTTCTGTACGATTACCATACAACATTTTAAACGACATTAAATTAAATTGAATATTGCTTTTACCTTTTTTTTATTTATTCGAAGCAAATAGAAAATGTATAGAAATGTAAAAATTTTATATAAAAAATAATAATAATAATTATTATTATTATTATTATTATTATTATTATTATTATTATTATTATTATTATTATTATTATTAACATAACACCAACTGCTTTATGAATTTCACCAGTGGGATGCAGGCCTGCGGTAGAGAAATAACTGGTTTATGTGGGGTAAAATTTTTTCTTAATTAAATAAAAGTTTACTACAAAATGTCAAACCAAAACATATCCTTACGTTTTTACGTTTTATTGTGTCAAACTAGAGTAGCAAAGGGATTAATTAATTCATTTCCAAAAAAAAAAAAAAAAAACTGTAGCTTTGATTTACCTTTATATCTTTTGGCACTCTCTGTCTCCCCCTGGTGGTCAAACAGTTTTATTATCCGGGGAAAAAGTTGGTTATAAAACAACCTAAGTGGCGCATTAATAAACTATTATTTATCTTCATACCGTTTATTAACTAAAATAGAAAAAAAGTTTATTTTTTTAGTATTTATATTTATATATATATATATATATATATATATATATATATATATATATATATATATATATATATATAAGTGTGCTTATTTTAAACGTTTCATTTGTTTTATTTTACTATCAAAATATTTTCCCTCTTTATTGGAATACATTTCCTTCTCAAACCACAACAATTCTGTCTGGATAAATATAAATAAATACAAAAATTGAGAACGGAGTGGGAAAACCGTTATTCAAGCGTTCATATAGCTGCAGACTAACGTTTTATTTTGAAAATAAAAACATTTAACCGGACGTCTTAATCTGACGTGTCCACATTTTTCAGTTTAAAAATCAAAGACACCTGCCTCAGCGAGGAGAGATTTCAGGATTAATGTTCATCATCCAAACGAACCAAAATCACTGAAACCATGATCTGCAGGAGAGGACTGCAGCTTGCACTTCCAGGTGAGCACATCATCATCATCATCACAGGTAAATCCATGCATGCAGAAAGAAACCATGAAGTTAAGCCATTAAGATTAGACATGTGTTCAGATTCTAGTTCCTCCTTAATTAGTTTGCAGTAAAATCACTCAGATATCAGACCAGATAATTCAACAGACAATATATAGATTAAATATGATGAACATTAGATATGATGGGTTTAATGATACATTTTGCATTGATACCATCAAATTATGGGGTTAAAGGAAATGAACAGGTAGATAAATTGAAATTTATCAGTGGATTTATTTATAAATTTTAGTCAATCTGAAGTTAAAATCTTAAATGAAGGATAAATGGCAAAAGGAATGAGACAAAACTGGAGAAATTAGGAGAACAGGAAGAACTAGTAGAGAAGAAACAATTTTTTCTTGATTTAAATTTGGGCAGACTGGCTTAAACAGAACTCTGTCCCTAGAAACAGGAACGATAAATGTGAAAACTGGGGTAGATGAAACAACTGAACGTGATGTTTTACTGTGATACATATGATGAGTAGAGACTGCAATTAATTCAAAAGGTAAGTAAAGTAAAAGTTAAATTATTTAGAACTTATTCAGAAAGGAACGCATCAAAAATAACACATTTATATATAGAATAATAATTTCTAATTCATGGAATTTAATTCCTGAGAGTCATTCTGGTCCACACTCCATAACAGTAGATGGAATAAATTAATCTCCATACTGTCAAAATTGTGGAATTTATGAAAGAGGATTAGGGCCACTGAAAAAAAAAGTTAATTGATTTAAAAAAAAATACTATTTCAGTTTAATATGGGAAAAAAAGTCAGAATTTGGACTTTAATCTTAGAATTCTGACAGCTAACAAACATGTTAGCATCAAGCCGTAGCCATGTCTGTTTTAGAGACTAGCTCTCTTGTTTTAATCACCTTCTGTTCTTCCATTAATCAAATAGCATCACCCTCAGGGACGTAAAAAGTCGCCTAATTCCTTCATTTTCCACCAATGTGTTCCTGTTCCTCCCAAATAACTCACATCTTTGCCAGTGAATCTGAGCGCTCCACTTCTCTGCCTTCATGGGGCCCATCTACATAAAAATATCCAAAATTCTGAGATTAAATTCAGAATTTTGAGAAATTAATAATAATAATAATAATAATAATAATAAATCCAATTTGTACCGCACTTTTCATTAACAAAAATCTCAAAGTGCTACACAGTGCAAATAAAATCAAAGATAAAAATCAACATCATAAAAATCATGTGGAGGCAGAATAGGCTTGCTTAAATAAAAAAGTCTTCAAGCCTTCAGAATTCTGACTTTTTTTCCCCATATTAGGGGTGAGTATTGGCATGGGTGCTGCAATACCATATGTGTCACTATATTGCAATATCACCATATATTTTGACATTTTTCCTGCTACCAAAATTAAATGTATAGATAAAAAAGCAACCTCTGTATATGTTCATGGGATGATATTGATCATTTATTTTGGTATCCACGTTGCTCGGGGTTTGATTCAGTTCATGTCTTCCACTGTGTCTGCCTCAACTACAGATAACTCGCTGCGCTCCACGATGCAGAGGTAGACCATTTTCTCTCAGTTTTAGGTAAAAAATGTTTTGCTTAATAAAATAGATACTAGTAACTAGATCCATATTATATCAGGCAGCCAAAAATCACGATATATTGCCCAAAACGATTTTTTTTCCCCACACCCCTGTTTAAAATACAGATATGGGTTTTTGATTAACTCTTAAAGTTGATAACTTCCTTTTTCTTCCCTCTTCATGGGCGGTTCTAGAAAAGGGCCAACAGGGGCCAGTGCCCCTACAGATCATGCCCTGGCCCCTGTTATGGCCCCTGTACCGAATACATATTACTAAAAGAAATTCTAATGATGATATGTCCTGGAGCAGACATGGTTACCGATAGGTCCGTTGGATCTATTTCATTTTTTTCCAAAATTCTGTTTTACTAAATATGTGAAATAAAGTAAAATCTTCAGTTTTAGTGAGATAGGATCCAACTTTTCATCTGCTAAATATTTTTTTTCTCAAAACGATTACAAAAAATTCAAAATTTTTACAGCTGAATTTATCAGTTTTTCTTGAGTTCTAATTCAGATTTTATAGAAAACAGTTATTTTCACTTAAAGTAAGTCAAAGAATATGTAAAATCCCTAAATTATGAGTGTATAGACCTAATATTGTAAATAATAGCTTTATTTGATCTTTTAGACATTTATTATAGCTACCATTTTTTTGAGTTGCTTTTTTGCTATGCTAAGGAATTTTGATTTTGATTGGAACGATAATCCAAGTAAACATTTTCAAGCCAAAAATGAAATATTTTTTAGATGGAAGACATACAATTTTAATTAAACCTAATTGAATGGAGATTTCGCTTCATGCAACTCTCATGATATATTTGAATCCCTTGCCCTGTTTATTTCATGCTTTTCTGTGCCCCCATGAAAACATGCTGACCCCCCCAGCCCCCCGGTACGTTTGGTCCTGAGCTATCTCTATAGTTCTGCTGCTATAGGCTTAGACTGCTGGAGGACATAGGGACCCCTTTTTCATCATTCTGCTTCATTCTATCTCTATTCTCCCACTCTGCAGAATCTGTTAGTTCAATCTACTAGTGGTTCCTAGAATTTCTAAAAGTAGAATGGGAGGCAGATCTTTTAGTTATCAGGCTCCTCTCCTGTGGAACCAACTACCAGTTTTAGTCCGTGAGGCAGACACCCTGTCTACTTTTAAGGCTAGGCTTAAAACTTTCCTTTTTGATAAAGCTTCTAGTTAGAGTGGCTCAGGTTATCCTGAGCTATCTCTATAGTTCTGCTGCTATAGGCTTAGACTGCTGGAGGACATAGGGACCCCTTTTTCATCATTCTGCATCATTCTATCTCTATTCTCCCACTCTGCAGAATCTGTTAGTCCAATCTCTAACGTTCTGCTCTCTCTGCTTTTCCTCATAGTAGCTTCATCTGGTCTGTTCCTGTTTGGCTGTGACTCCATCCTGGAGAGAAATATCAGCTGTGCTACTGCCATCAACACCTTTGTTTCTAGATGTTGGAGCTTGGCCTGTTTTTCAGTGTAGTCCTGTTTCTCTGACTGTGACTAACTGGATGTGCTCTCTTCATCCTCTGACATGGGAGCTGGCTCGGAGCTCGTCTGCCTGGCTGTGTGTTTCCTGGACGGGGCCGCCTGTGGAGCTGGTTGACAGTTGCCTTTTGTATCTACACTGCAAAAACAATCCAGAAATAAGTAAAAAATGGCTTAAATTAAGTATATTTAGCCTTAATTTGAGCAGGTAAATAAGATGATTTGCCAATGGAATTAGTATTTTCACTCTTAAAATAAGATAGTTAGATAATATTTACTTGAAATAAGACGATAAAATAGTTTTTTCTTATTTTAAAAGGAAATTGTCTTGTTCCATTGGCAAAGTGTCTTACTTATCTCCTCAAATCAAGGAAAAACACACTTATTTTAAGAAAAAATAACTTATTGAGATTTATATTTTTTGCAGTGTATGCTTCTTTTTCTATGTCTGCTTCTGTCTCCTTGAACCCCAGTGGGCCTCAGCAGATGGCCGCTCACACTGAGCCTGGTTCTGCCGGAGGTTTCTTCCTGTTCAAAGGGAGTTCTTCCTCTCTACTGTCACTGCATACATGCTTAGTGTGAGGGATTGCTGAAGAGTCAATGAGTCTTAGACAGATTTAGACATATTTGCAACTAGTCAATGCAATCAGCTGGTTTTTCTTGGATTGAAAACTTTGCATCAGTTTGACTGGATGATCTGGTGAACTGTAAAGTTGTGAATTGGCGCTATAGAAATAAACCAAATAGAACTGAACCGCCACTGTCCCTGTTACATCCAGACCTCAACGCTCTTCATGAACCAAACTCAGTGGATCGGCTAACTCTAAGCTGCGTGCTAAGATGAAAGAAGCATCTCATCTTCTTTGTCCTTGTTTTCTTATCAGGTGAACGTTTCATTGAGCTGGTTACATGAAATGTTCTTCCTCCTGCTGAGACCTTCATGCTGATGGGAGATTTTCAAGATGGACTCCAGCACAGATTCAGACTCTGGGATCAGTCCGATGTGGTCGGATACCAGCACTCTGGTATTCCTTTCATACTTAAATTTAGTACATTTGATTGTTTGTTTCTAGAAGAGCTTGCTGCTAACCAGACATTTACATCACACCATATATGGCGTTAAAAGTCATGGCTACAAACTTCTCCGCAAAATTGTTCATTTTTCAAAAATAATATGTCCACAAAAAGCTGAACTGGTGCAGAATAAAAATATTAAAGGAAAAGTCCGTTCAGCAAAGAATAATCAATGGATCATTATTTATACCTAAAACTAATATGTTCACTGTTATTTAATGACTTTAGTGTTAATCAGTATAAAAATAAAAACAATAATTTTATTGCGATCACTGAGTCTGGGAGCGGCCATTTTGGCCAGTATAGTAACACCTCCCTCCTGCCATCTTCCATCTGTCAGACCAGCATACCAACAATCAAAACCCGTTTATCCCTTTAGTTTTGCATGAAAACTGCACTTGAAACTACCTCAACGGGGGCATGTGTTCCTTTAGTCACGTACAAAAGAACTATTTAATACTTAGTTTTTTGTGTCCTTTTTAAACGATCTGACCTTAAACTGTTTTTTTTTGTACATGACTAAAGGGATCCACACCTGTTGAGGTAGTTTAAAGTCTATTTTTCGTACAAAACAAAAGGGATAAATGCAAATCTGACTTCTTGTGCATGTGTATTGACTATAGGTATGCTGGTCTGATGGGGTATGCTGATCTGACAGAACACCGGCACCTCCTGGGAAGGTTTCTCACCTGAGTGAAGTTGGCCCCCCCCCACCTTCTTCAAATCAGACAAAATTAGTGTCAAACGTTTCAGAATCAGAAAAAGTTTAATAATCCCAGAGGGAAATTACTTTTGTTACACGCTCCAGTTACAGTTTTATATAATATATACACACATCCAACTATACAATATAATAAAGATTAAAAAATAACAATAAAAACAGATAAAAATATATACACATGTAGCTCTTCTGTGTATATATATATATATATATATATATATATATATATATATATATATATATATATATATCTCTATGCATATGTAAAAACTAAATCCAAATAAAGTGAAAATCCAAGTAAAGTGATATGTGGCGTGCAAAAATAGTGCATAAATATCAATTACGGGGGGATGGGGGGAGAAGGTCATCAAAGGTCAACTAGCCCCCCTCCACCTTCTTCAAATCAGACGAAATGGGCGTCGATTAACTCAGCTCCTTTTGTGCAGCAAAAATTGTCGTTTGTGCTGCTTTGGCTTTGAAGATATTCATGAAAATGTAAAGGTCAAAAGGTCAACCAGCCCACCCACCTTCTTCAAATTAGACAAAATTGGTGTCAAACGTTTGTGCAGCAAAAATTTTCGTTTGTGCTGCCATCATTTTTTTTTAGTTTAAAATGATATAATCATAGGTTAGCAACTTATAATTTATATGAAATTCAGAGTTTCAGAATAAACAAATGTTCGACCTTTGATGGCTTCTACAAACAATATCATTAAAATGATAGCAGTACAAAAAGTTTATATATTTTAAAATATGCATTTTTAGTATTTTCAATATTTTATATTTAAAATTAATTTAAAAATTTTATATTTTTGTATGGCAAAACTTTTCATTTGTACTGCTATCGTTTTAATAATATTTTGCAGAGGTCATCCAAGGTCAGTTATCTGTTTTTGCTGCACAAACCAAACGTAGCACAAACTTGTCAGAACCCTCATCTGTTCCTGAAGCTCACGGCTTATTTTCCATTTGCTAAATAGACGTTTAATCGATCAATCAGTGGATGCACGGGAGAACCAACTGTTATTGCAAGGTTCTATTTTTTTGGACAAGAGAAAAACCAGCAAATGAAAACTTTTGTTGCGGTTCTTGCTTTGTTGTAGAATCATTCCGCCCAGGAAAAGAATTATTTCAGACTCCTGCTGATAATGAGTATATGTGAAGGTTATAATCTCTGCCTGTTGTGAGCAGGGATGTGGGAGCAGTGCACCAGAGAGCGGAACCTCACGCCGGATGACGACTTTAACGCACAAGCCTTTGGGAAGACACGCCTGCTGTTCGCTGGTGAGCATCCTCCTAACCAGACACCTCGGCTGCTGACCCCTCCTGCTGATTCCATGGACCTGCTGTCTTGTTGTGCAGTTTTTGGACCCATACGATGGGAGCTCGGAGGATTCTGATGTGTCCAGCGGTGGTACCGTTAGGCTGCCGAGGCCGCACGGTAAAGGAGGCCACAGGAGGCGACTGTTCCCTCACTCATCAATGACGACGGACACAATGAGGGCGTCTTTGATGCATCGTCAGGGAGACGCCCGGGTGAAACATGGGAGATGTTCTGGGGAGGATTGCAGGAAGACTCCGGATGAAAGTGAGAACATCCACGCCATGGATGTAGAGGTGCAGCTCGATGACTCTGGTTTGGAAGCTACGAGATCTTCCACATGTTGCACACCTGGACTTTACATCTCAGAGGAAAGGAGCTCGCCTCAGATGCTGAGCAGCAGCTTGGGGAGATCCCTCAGACCTCTGAGCAAGAGGAAGGAGCTTCCTCCTGAAGCAGAGCCAGTGGAGGCGGAGCTCAGAAAGAGGCGGTGTGTCGTAAACACGGCGGATGAACGAGGAGAACCGGGATGAAGCGTGCCTGAAGCCTCTGCTCACTGCCCATGAATGATTCCACCGTTTTAGTTTTCCCTAAAACTGTTTTTCACATTTTGCTTCTTTTTTCATCAAGTTAGTTTCTCTTGATTTTAACCTGATTCTGTTGCTAAAGTCATAATTTTGTCAAATAAGCTGCTATGAAGAAGGAAGTTTGTCTTGCTGTAAAACAGAAACATTGAGATTTAACTCAGTCCTTAAAGCAAATATTATTAAAAGGCTAAATTAAAAAAGAGCAACTGCCACATGTGTGTCTGTGTTTAAGCTCTGTGGTGGGTTCCTCAGACTAGAACCCTGATCCAGGGTTCATTAACCCTGGTCTTTATGACCCTCTGTCCTCCATGTTTTAGGTGTTTCCCTGCCTCCATAAACCTGACCTGAATGAAAAGGTGATCTGTTCAGTTTATTTCTATAGCGCCAATTCACAACATCTCATGGCTCTTTCCAGTTCACCAGATCATCCAGTCATATTGATTCAAAGTTTTCTATCTAAGGAAAACCAGCTGATTGCATCGACTCATTGACTCTTCAGCAATCCCTCACACTAAGCATGCTTGTAGCGACAGTGGAGAGGAAAAACTCCCTTTTAACAGGAAGAAACCTCCAGCAGAACCAGGCTCAGTGTGAGCGGCCATCTGCTGAGGCCCACTGGGGTTCAAGGAGACAGAAGCAGACATAGAAAATGAAGCATAGATACAAAAAGCAGCTATAAAAGGCGGCCCCGTCCAGGAAACACACAGCCAGGCAGACGAGCTCCGAGCCAGCTCCCATGTCAGAGGATGAAGAGAGCACATCCAGTTAGTCACAGTCAGAGAAACAGGACTACACTGGAAAACAAGTTGATCTCCAACATCTAGAAACAGGCTTTTACAGCATTTGGTGGCTGCTGATCAGGTAACGCAGTCATTCTAATCAGGTGTGCTTAAGTAGAGATGCATCAAAAATGTAAAGGAACACAGTTCTTAGAACTGGAAATTTGAATATTTTTTCCAAATAAATTTTTTTATATATATAGCTTTTTTCCCCCCAAAAGTATATTTTCAGTGCATCTTTTTCAAATTCCAATGACGGGAAGTGGCAGCCTAGTGGTTAGGGCATAGAGCTTAAAATCCTGAGGTTGTGAGTTTGAAACCCACTCCCATGGACTGCCACTCTGGCTCTCTGAGCAAGGACCCTTAACGCCGCACAATGGCAGCCCACAGCTCGCCAAGGGGATGCGTTAAATGCAGGGAATTAATTTCTCCATTGTGTGAAATCTATAAAGTTCAATTTCTATGCATAAGAAATATGAAAACATTAATATGTTTAGAAGTTTCCTTTTCGTTCATATGTATTTCAATCTGTCTCATCAGTGTACGAGAAAGGAGGTAATCCTCAGGGAGCTCGCACAGAATAGAGCTGATCTACAGGTGCTGGTCATAAAATTAGAATATCATGAAAAAGTAGATTGATTTCAGTAATTCCATTTAAAAAGTGAAACTTGTATATTATATTCATACATTACATACAAACTCATATATTTCAGATGTTTATTTTGTTTAATTTTGATGATTACAAATGACAACAAATGAAAATCTCAAATTCATCATATCAGAAAATTAGAATATTACTGAAGACCAATAAAAACAAAGGATTTATAGAAATGTTGGCCAACTGAAAAGTATGAACATGAAAAGTATGAGCATGTACAGCACTCAGTATTTAGTTGGGCCTCCTTTGGCCTGTATTACTGCAGCAATGCGGCGTGGCATGGAGTCGATCAGTCTGTGGCACTGCTCAGGTGTTATGATAGCCCAGGTTGCTCTAATAGTGGCTTTTAGCTCTTCTGAATTGTTGGGTCTGGTGTATTGCATCTTCTTCTTCACAATACCCCATAGATTTTCTATGGGGTTAAGGTCAGGAGAGTTTGCTGGCCAATTAAGAACAGGGATACCATGGTCCTTCAACCAGGTACTGGTAGCTTTGGCACTGTGTGCAGGTGCCAAGTCCTGTTGGAAAATGAAATCTGCATCTCCAAAAAGTTGGTCAGCTGCAGGAAGCATGAAGTGCTCTAAAACTTCCTGGTATGTGGCTGCGTTGACCCTGGACCTCAGAAAACACAATGGACCAACACCAGCAGATGACATGGCACCCCAAACCATCACTGACTGTGGAAACTTTACACTGGACTTCAAGCAACGTGGATGAAGTGCCTCTCTTCTTTTCCTCCAGACTCTGGGACCTTGATTTCCAAAGGAAATGCAAAATTTACTTTCATCAGAGAACATGACTTTGGACCACTCACCAGCAGTCCAGTCCTGTTTCTGTTTAGACGCTTCTGACGCTGTCTGTGGTTCAAGAGTGGCTTGACACAAGGAATGCGACAGCAGAAACCCATGTCTTTCATACGTCTGTGTGTGGTGGTTCTTGAAGCACTCACTCCAGCTGCAGTCCACTCTTTGTGAATCTCCCCCACATTTTTGAATGGGTTTTGTTTCACAATCCTCTCCAGGGTGCGGTTATCTCTCTTGCTTGTACACTTTTTTCGACCACATCTTTTCCTTCCCTTCGCCTCTCTATTAATGTGCTTGGACACTGAGCTCTGTGAACAGCCAGCCTCTTTAGCGATGACCTTTTGTGTCTTGCCCTCCTTGTGCAAGGTGTCGATGGTCGTCTTTTGGACAACTGTCAAGTCAGCAGTCTTCCCCATGATTGTGTAGCCTATAGAACTAGACTGAAAGACCATTTAAAGGCTTTTGCAGGTGGTTTGAGTTAATTAGCTGATTAGAGTGTGGCACCAGGGGCCATCAATTTTGAACCTTTTCACAATATTCTAATTTTCTGATATGATGAATTTGAGATTTTCATTTGTTGTCATTTGTAATCATCAAAATTAAACAAAATAAACATCTGAAATATATGAGTTTGTATGTAATGTATGAATATAATATACAAGTTTCACTTTTTAAATGGAATTACTGAAATCAATCTACTTTTTCATGATATTCTAATTTTATGACCAGCACCTGTAGTTCACTCCACCTCGATTCCCTAAGTGTTACAACATACAGAAATTAGTCAATATAAAACACAAACACTAAATATGACAAAGGATAAAGTAAAAGTCCTTCTGGATGTAGCCTATAATACGTACAGACATTCTCCATTTACTATTTTATTTTTATTATGTCTGACAAAGTGTTCAATGAAATGAGAACATTTAGACACGAGCCGTTGGCTTTCAGAGAAATAGTTGACAGCAAGAAGGTTCTGGGTTCGATTCCCGGCCCGGGTTCTTTCTGCATGTTCTCCATGTGTGGGTTCTCTCCGGGTACCCCAGCTTCCTCTCAGTCCAAAAACGTAACTGTTAGGTTAATTGTCTTCTCTAAATTCTCCTGAGGTGTGAATGGTTGTCTCTATGTTGCCTTGTGATGAACTGTCCAAGGTGACAGTTCGGGCTCTCGCCCGTAGACAGCTGGAAATTGGCACCAGCACCCCCCAAAGAAAATGTGACAGAAAATGGATGAACCCCGTGCTCGCTCCTGGCGAGGGGATTCTGGAGTGGGATAAATACCGTGGAATGACACCCCTGCACATCCCTTTCAAATTTCTAATGGCTTCCAGCGTCTCAGAGCGAATAGCATCGAGAATTTCGGTGTTGGTAGTCGTTTCTCGAGCAACGTCTGCTGTCATGATTCATGCAGCTATTATTTCATCCAAATGAAAAATGGAGAACAGATAAGCAGATCATGGCTTGTCTACAGTGAAAAGAAGGACTGGGTTATTTACTTTGGCCTTTTTGGAAACACAGGAAGGAGCAATCAGCTAAGTGAGCTTAGTGCTTGGAAAAAATCTTTCATTCCTTTAGAAACAAAACATAGAGAGGAAAACAAGAAGAAAAGGGACAAGAAGAGAGGGACACAACCTAGAACAGATAATGGATGTCTATTCTATTAACATTTCTCTATCTGGAGAATGGGGCTGTTTATGTGTTGTCTTCTCCATTCAGAGGGCCCCCTGCCTGTCTTTGCCTAGGGCCCCACATTTCCTAAATCCGCCCGATTGTAAATACTGTGATCCTTATATTATTTGAACTTAGTCTTATTTTTCTCTCTTCTATAAACTGTTGCACTGCAAGAATATAATTTACCACAAGGGATTAATAAAGTGAATCTGATTCTGTAACAAAAAAATATAGATTTTCATTTCTAGTTGCTTTCTGATACCTCTAAACAAAGACCAGGAATTTATAAAAAAAAAAAACAACAACAGAAGCTTTTTCATCACAATGCAAGAAGTTTTATTCAATCTAAAAACATCGTCTTTAAAACATTTCCAACCTTTCACCTAAACTCATTTCCTTCCCATTTTTTTTTCCATCTGACGACTTCCTCTTCACCTTCACAATCACTTTCCAGGAACTCTACGATCGGAGGATCCCTGCTCCACAAACATCTCTAAGGTTATTATTAGAATAAGTCACAGAAGCACTACCTCTATGGGAAAGCCAGTAATGAAAGACAGATTAAATGCAGTTTAATGATTAATTAGGGCGACAGGAATGACTCCATGCAATTATTCGGTGCAGAGGATAGCGACTCCGCGCTCGTAGAAGCTGTGAGGGTCCTCCTTGGTGGCGATGTCGAAGTCCACGGTGAAGATGAGGTCAGTCCTGGTGAAGTTCAGGTAGACGGGTAGGGTCACCTGCAGACGGAGAACAGAAAGCTCAGCCTGAGAAGCTTCTATCTTGTGGACTGGGCTCTGTGGCGATCTCACCATGTGTCTCTTCTCGGCGTTGCTCTGCTTCATCCAGCGGAGCTGAGTGAGCGGCAGCTCCGTGGAGATGGAGGTGGACAGGGACAGCTTGTTGTTGGCACAGGTGGCGCCCTGCAGCTTCAGGCCTGGATGGGAGAAACTCGTTAGAACCAGTTAAGATCAACTGACACTTCCCTCCAATATCTACGCTCCTCTCCAGGGTTCTATGCAGTTTCTATTTTTAACCAGATTCTGCAACAGAAAGGCTTCAAATCAACTGGTTTTCCTTAGATAGAAAACTTTGAATCAATCTGACTGGATGATCTGGTGAACTGGAAAGTGACCTGAGATGACATGATGTAAATTAGAGCTATAGAAATAAACTGAATAGAATTCTTTGATTTGTTGTTTGTCAGGTTTCAGTTTCTAGTCAATATAAAAAGGAGGGGAAAAAAGGGTAAATTTCTGCCATAAAAGAAG